TCTTCCATCCATATCCGTGAAAAGTAACTGCACAGTCATTTCACTTTGTGACTTTGGTTTAATACCCCAGGGCTGAGTTTGTGAGAAGTTGTTCCCAACTACAAATGTTATTGGAAATTGCTGGAACAACGTGGAATTGCATGCTGTACCTTTGTAGTACTCCACTCAACCACTGAATGCCCATTCAAGGGCAAAGACATTGCTAATTTTCATTTATGCTAACAATATGGAAGAAAGCAAAACATGAAAGCCAAACAAGTTATATTCTGCTGCAATGATTTCAGTTGAGTAATAGAAAGCAGAGGTAACTATTAACTGTATGAGTCATGTATGCTAAACAATGTCAAAGCAGTAGACAGGTAGGAGAAAACCTGAAACATCACAACTGCATAATGCTATCATCATTTGTAATCTCCTTCTTGTAGTCCCTAGTCACCTTCTGGCAAAGCGTCAACACAGATATGATGGAATGAATGACCTTACTTTGTAAGATGGCTCTATAGATTACAGATGAAGAACAGTAGAGAAATCAGTCTGGAATTTGCCCTGTGACTAATTTAACAGCTAGCTTGGGAGAGCTGGTAACAAAATCCAAGGTTCCTCTATAACAACATTGCACCGCATATGGTTGATTTACTCATCAAACCATCTAAGGACGGGTTAAGAACTATTTTTAAAAGAAATTATCATTCCACTTTCGCTACTTTCCATTCCACCACAGAAGTGCCCTCCATGAACAACTTTACTTTGATTGTGCCTGAATGGTGGTCACAGTATAATATACATTTCACATGAAGAACCAAGTGACTTTCCATGAAGCAACTGCAGCACTAAATAGGCACAGAAAGGAATTCTGGAAATAATACTACTTCTGTAAGTTTTGTTTCCACCACCATATCTTTGAACATCACAAGGCTACACCTCCACGAGTGTCATCATTGAAAGCTTTATATCACTGATACTTCAATGAGCAGTTGCAAAGTCTGATTTGGAACTGAGCTGCTCAGAAGGTGCTGCTCTGGTAAATTATCTGATCACATTATGGCACGTACACTATACTGTTGAACAATCACATAACCAACTAAGCTCTGAGGTGAGAAAAAAGGGCTGCAAGACCAAACTGGTGGGCAATAAACTGATTTGTAACTCTGAAGGCAATGTGCCTACTTGTCCAACTTCGATCAGTGTGAGTTTTCCTGTTGCCAAGTCAGAACAGCCCGGAAAATGCGTAATCCTCAACCATTGTCATCAAAACAAATGATTGGATAATTATTTCCTATCTGCTTTTGGAAGTTGCTGCAAGTAAGTTGCCTGCAGTTCCCAGAAAAGTGACTATCCTTTGTAAGTATTTTGTTGATTGTAAAACACTCAGCTCCACGTGGTCATGAAAGATGTTACGTAAATGTAGGCTTTTTTCTTGAAACAGATGGCCTTAGTTGGCAGTTCTTCAATTGTCTTCCGATGCTGTAACAAAAAGTTGAAAACTCAAGACACTTTTGTCAAAGATGTCAAACAAAAAAATTAACTGAATCGTCCTCAGCCAGGCATTGAGCACAGTTCAGGAGATTATCTTAGGGTTTACAGATAATCAATTCAATTAATTCGCAGTGGACTGAAGTAGACTAATGCCTCTAACATGTTTACAATACACTGACACCTCTGCAGTATCTGGGAGACTTCTGGTCTCAGTGCCGTTTATCATCCAAACGGAGAAAGGAAAAAACAGCTAATTTACTGTAGTTTTGAACTTGGCAAATAAGAGGTTCACTATTCTCACCCACTCCTGAACACTAGATAAATTTATCAAACTTTATTTTCAAAGGTTTGGTGAAGGTGCCAACTCTGGACAGGATTTATTTCATTGATTTCCATCTTGACCTAAAATGTCAATTCCAAGAAAAAGCTAAAGAAAGCCTGTAGAGTACTGTGTGTATCCGGTGTATCTGAATTATATAAAATTTGACCCTTCCTGCAAGCAAGGAACTAGATATTTCAAAGCCCATAAATAAGAAAAAGCAGACTGGTCAGTCAGCATCTAAAAAACATGGGTTAACATTTTGAATGCAGACCTGAGCTAGATTTACTTTAAAGGATTACTTAGCTCAAAGTACACCGTTCAGCTCCAATCATCCAAAGTCTATGGCTGAAAGGTTATCAGCATTTCCCAGGAGATGGAACTGGATAAGTACTTGGGAGAAAAAAAAAAATTGGGTATTTATGGGGAAGAGCTAAGCATTGGGACTTACTGGAATGCTACTACTTAGAGCCAGCACAGACTTAATGAGTCGAATGACCTCATTGCGTACTGTACTATTTTATGGCTAATAGTCAGAAATGCAACAACCAATGATTTCACAGTGGGAAGCGGGTGAAAGAGAGGTGGCATGGTAACTAGATTAAGAGAAAAACAAAGCAATTACTTATTAACAAAATATCAGAGCAAGTCTTTTTTTTTCAGGTGGGAATGGTGTATGGATTTGGAACAGTTAGTAGTGAAATGAAAGATGAAGTTGAGCTGCTCCAATCTCTGCAACAACATGAATACACTGACAACACTGCTACACAAAAGTAAAAAATAACATGCAAAATATAATTTTAATTGTTCAGTTGTTATTGGTGAGACCAGAGGTGTATTTCAACTTCGTCACCTCCCTTCATGAACTCAGATGGTCTTTCACGATTTGCCTGGGGTGGATATCACAATGAATGGCAAGGTGCACAATCATCGGCAAGGTGCACAATCATCTGATGCAAAGAGTGCCTTTGCCAGCACACTGACATAGCACGAGAAAGCAAGTAGCTAGAATGAAGACCATTCGAAAATCCAGGGGAGCCAGAGCCAGCTGGAGCTATCTTCAGAGCTCATGGAGTGGAACACAGGCTCTTAACCACTTCCATTTGGCACAAGTTTCTTGTGCAATGACTCATCAGTTAACAGTTTGTTCAAGTTCAAATTTCCTGTGAAGCATTGGGACTTCCTCTTCAACGTCCATTATTTTATCCTGTAGCTGAGCTACGTGCAACAGCTCTACAGGAATCGTAGAGCAGCTATATTTATCACTTACGCTACGCTTTATTGATAAATTCTTAATCCTTATTCATGAAAATAATGCATTTCATAAAAGGTGCATGAATGGAGCTAACTAAAAATAATTTGAAACTGGGTAACACACCAGTTAAGAGTTGGAAAAAACCAGATTGATGGAAAGCTGGGAATTTGGGGATGAATTGTGTATTGGCAGTATAGTGAGTTTGACTCTGCACCACACAGGCAAAATATTTACCCTGGCATTAGATTTCTCTATCAATCTAAACCACTCAACTAGTTCCTCATCCTGTTTTCCTTGGTTATTGCAGCAATGACCATTGCAGCCCTGTCATTCCCAGCTATTTCAATCTACTTGCAACTTCCGACTGACCCCTCTGTTTAGCCCTCAAAACCTTATTCAAACTAACTCTGCAGAACAACTTCTCAAACTACACCTCATCCCTACCCTCCCTGCACCAAACATACACACAGCATTTTGCTTCATTGACTGGTTCCTTGGAAATCCGGACTCTCCTTCAAAAGTCCTAATCAGATCCAAAAACAAAAAGTCTTCTTTCTCCTCTGACCCTCTTAATATCATAACACTGCTCCTGCTCATTAACTTACATGACAGGTCTTTTACACTGACTCCTATTCACACCATGAAACAGTCAGTCTTCCACACCTCCTGATAGCAATCAGATTCACATTCTTAATCCTGACAATTACCAACATGCGAAAAAAAAATCACATCCAGCCAGGCCATTCATAAATGGTCTCTTTTGATCTTCTTGAGCATGGTTTTATCTCCCAGTAATTACATCCCCTCAGTAAACTGGGCTAATCCTGGAGTTCTCTTCTGAGTGCCTACCTTAATGGTCACTTTCAACATTAAGTCTGAGAGTTCTCAGAATCTGCCTCCGAAACTGAAGTGCCTGAGCTACCGTCATTCTTATTGCCTCCAGACCATGCTCTCCTGAGATCCATTCATGTTATAGTTTCGCCATCTTCCAGTCCCTCTATTCATTACTTCATTAAACTCATACCCTGAATCCAGCTCCTGAATGCTCCACTATTATTGCTGGGTCAATGGTTTCCAGATATTATTAACTGCACTGTTGGGCAGACATTTCTTTCTGGAATAGCCATCACATAGCTTCTCAAATAACACACTTAACAAAATGATCCTCTTCAATCACAATCCAATTACTATTCTCCTATTCCTTTTCAAAATTCTCCAAGCCAATTAGCATCCAACTCAATTCTCACCTTTACTGTAGACTTCCGTCATACAGATTTGTCACTGGTCAATTACAGATCCTAAAACTGCAGCCCTAACATTGGTCTTCCCATATTTTTCAAGTCAATTAATATTCTATCTTCCATCATTGTTATCATGATCCACCACAATAGTTTCACTACCTACCTACCACAAAATTCTCCAATCCCTTTTTCCTGCACAAATACCTCAGGATTGATATAGTTATATCCTTGACATTTGATATGATCCAGATGAACACTTGTTATGTACCTCTACACTGCTTGACATCTATTCATCTCCAAGGTGTTCTACAAGTATATGTATGATCCAGGAGTTTTTCAAATACAATACTGGCAAAACTACACATTCTGCTCAAGGAGTCAGAATTGGACCAAAATATATACCATACCCATGTGCGCCTGACAGCCTCAAATATTACATCATAATCATCCCTAAAAGTGCTGGAACCAGTGTTTACTGCATAGTACTAATGTATTATGGTACTAATTGGCTGAACGTACACAAAGTCTGAGTGTCTGCATTTTTTTTTGGGGGGGCGGGGGGGGAGGAGGAGAAGGGAAGGAAGGAGGAGGAGATGGAGTAAAGAGGGAGGGAGGGATAAATAGAATAAGCCAAATCAAACGTGAGCATTGTCTACATAATACCTCCTTATGTGTTTTAGAAGTTAGAATAAGTCACATAACACCAGAATAATTTTATAATCAATGTTTTATCTTTGCAACTGGAAGTATATTTAATGACAGATCACCATTCTTTGCTCTATAAGAGCTGAACCCATTCAGTGTTCTTTAATGGTGCTGGTACACTTGTACATGGAATGTGTAGTCGCTTTTAAAAACAGGTACCTGACAGACAAGAGACAGACAAGCCCGTATAACCTGGAAATCACTCTAGTATTAGAGTAGAGCACACCTTTATATATGCATAGGACTTGAGTTAGGAATAAAAAAATTAATACTCATTTTTCAATGTGGAAAGCGTGAAGAATAAGACAATTGCCTTTTGTTAAAAATCCTGAAAATAAATTCTATTTAAAAAAAAAAGTGAATTGTGTTTCCAAATTCAAATTAAGTTAGTCCAGTGAGATAGGAAGAAAAGGAGGGCAATTTGATACTGGAATGCTGAAGGGTGCTTCCACCAATGGCAGGGTAGCGAGGGTCAGAGTTTTGGTGACTGAAGGATTGCCGATAATCCACACCAGACAATTGTACCCCCATGATTAAGCATAATACAGGCTTCAGATAGTGATCTTGGCCATCTGATTCTCAAGGTTGGCAATGCGCTCGTTTTGGCTGGCGACAGTGGCCTTCAGAGTTTTAACTTCTTGAAACAACTCATCCAACTTGGATTCAGAATTCTAAAGAAAAAACAAAAGAATATTTACTCTCATTTTCTCAACACACTGTTGGAATTGGGTCAATGTTGACACAAGACAATTTTTCTCAACATGACAATACTATTTACAATTGCACATTTCAATGAAGACCCAAATTTCACAGTTCTGGGGATAGATGAAGGACCAAAGTGAACACCTGGATGGAGATAAGGAATGAGATGCAAATAATGGAATATAAAACTAACTTGTGATGAGTATCACAGTTAACAGCAAAACATTTGGCAGATATAGAATCTCCCCGCCTGGTGCAGATACAGGCAATTTGGCCTTGAATCCATGCCGACCCTCCGAAGAGCATCCCACCCAGATCCACCCCCTCCCCCTATCCCCATTATCCTAGCATTTCCCATGGCTAATCTACCTAGCCTGCACATCCCTGGACATTATGGGCAATTTAGCATGGCCAATCCAACTAACATGCACACTGTTGGACTGTGCGTGGTAACCAGAGCACCCAGTGGAAACTCTGCATAAGAGTCACCCAAGGTTAGAATTCTGGCACTGTGCCACCTGAAGAGAAAGATAACGGCAATGGTAAATCTGCATCCATGCAAGGTGAATGCGGGTCAGACTTTAATGGGTAATAATTAAATGTGTGATGGCTAAGCTGGAACTTTGCATCTCTATTCAGTGGCAGAAGTAGAAAAATTACCATAGAACCTAAAAGCAATCAAAGGGAAGAAACTTAGCGGATTTCAGTTACGAAGTGTAATGGAGAAAGTGACTGGATTTAAGATAGGCGATTCTCCAGCACTTATTTCTTTTAGTACTCTGCAATGGAAACTAAGTCAGGAAATGTACATATTTCTCAATTTTCTAGTCAGGAAGTGTAAATTTTGACTTAAAACATTTAAAATGGAAGGGTTGGAGAAGACAAGCAATATAAATCCAGTTACGACACAGATGAAAAGGAATTTCTTCTTTCAGAGTCCAACAATTGTGCAGAATTCCTTACTGTGCAGGGCGAGACAATGTGGGTTGTTAGGTATGTTCAAGACTGTTATTGACAGGTTCTTAAATCAGTAAGGGAATCAAGAGTGTTTCAGAGATAGTAGGAACTGCAGATGCTGGAGAATGAGATAACAAGGTGTAGAGCTGGATGAACACTGCAGGCCAAGCAGCAGAGGAGCAGGAAAGCTGATGTTTCGGGCCTAGACCCTTCTTCAGAAATGGGGAGGGGAAGGGGATTCTGAAATAAAAAGGGAGAGAGGGGGAGGCGGAGAGAAGATGGATAGAGGAGAGGATAGGTGGAGAGGAGACAGACAGGTCAAAGAGACGGGGATGGAGCCAGGTAAAGGAGAGTGTAGGTGGGGAGTTAGGGAGGGTATAGGTCAGTCCAGGGAGGACAGACAGGTCAAGGGGGCGGGATGAGGTTAGTAGATAGGAGATGGGGATGGGCTTGAAGTGGGAGAAGGGGATAGGTGGGAGGACAGGTTAAGGAGGCGGAGACAAGCTGGGCTGGTTTTGGGATGCGTTTGGGGGAGGGGAGATTTTGAAGCTTGTGAAGTGCACATTGATACCATTGGGCTGCAGGGTTCCCAAGCGAAATAGGAGGTGCTGTTCCTGCAACCTTTGGGTGGCATCGTTGTGACACTGCAGGTGGCCCAGGATGAACATGTTGTCTAAGGAGTGGGAAGGGGAGTTGAAATGGTTCGCGACTGGGAGGTGCAGTTGTTTGTTGCAAACAGAACATAAGTGTTCCGCAAAGCAGTCCCCAAGCCTCCGCCTGGTTTCCCCGATGTAGGAGGCCACATCTGGAACAGTGGATACAGTATACCACATTAGCAGATGTGCAGGTGAACATCTGCTTTATGTGGAAGGACTTCTTGGGGCCTGG